AAAAAAAAAAATGCATCCCCCAAAATACAAAACGAACTACTTGACTTGTGCGCAGGTGAGATACGCAAAAAACTCGTATCGGATTGCAACGCTGCCCCATGCTTCGCCCTCATTGCCGACGAGGCAACGGATTCTGCAACAAAGGAGCAGATATCAATCTGTGTCAGATTTCTGCACAAAGCCAGAGATGGAGCAAGCGTTGTCCGGGAAGAGTTTCTAGGTTTTACGGAAGCGGAGTCCTTGACTGGAGAAAGCCTCGTCGCAACATTTCTAAGAACATTAAGAGACCACGGAGTAGATGTCGTAAAAATGAGAGCACAGGCATATGATGGTGCGTCAAATATGAGTGGTAAATGCAAAGGAATACAAGCGATAGTAAAGGAGCAGTTTCCCTTGGCAGAGTATGTGCATTGCAAAGCTCATTGTTTGAACCTTGCCATCACACATGCATGCAACTTAGCAGTCGTGCGAACCATGATGGATATGGTCAAGGAAATTTCGTTTGCCTTTGGGTATTCAGCCAAACGTCTGATGCAACTTGGGGAAAAGGTAGCAATACACGAAGCTTCCAAAGAAGAAATAGGGAGAAGAACCAAACTGCGGATGCTGTTCGAAACGAGGTGGAGTGCGAGGGCTGACGCTTTGTTCACCTTCAGAGCAGCACTTCAATGTGTAGTTGAAGCCTTTGAGGAACTCGAACAGGGAACAGATCGACGCGCCGGGGATCTTCTAAATGCAATCCTCAGGTTTGACTTTATAATTACACTGGTGGTAGCAGAACACATACTTGGATCCACCGTCCAGCTGTCACTGTTGCTACAAAAGATCAACACAGATCTTGTGGCTGCATCAGCAGAGGCAACTGTAGTAGTGGAGATGCTCCTCGGGGAACGGAACGATGAGGCCGTATGGGACGATTTGTACGACAAGGCAACGGCACTTGCCGCCCAGTTTCAAATCCAACCATGTGTCCCCAGACGAACAGGACGGCAAATACACAGAAACAATGTTCCTGCTGAAAACCCACCCCAGTATTGGAGGAGAGCTCTCTACTACCCCTTCAATGACCACTTCCTTAGTGAGCTCGAGACTAGACTCCTTGTTCAACAGAAAAGGTTCAAAGCTCAATATATGATACCCATTTTTCTGAGGAACTTGGACGATATCATGGCTGAGTTTATCTTTGTAACCTACGAGGAAGACCTTGGCTTTGGACGCCAAGCCTACCAGAGGGAAGTAGCAAGATGGAAAATACGATGGGAAATGGTGCCAGACAAGGAGAACCCCGCCGACCTCCTAACCACTCTGTGTCAAACAGATGACATACTGTACCCTTCCATACATGCAATACTGGCCATCTTAATCACAATGCCAGTGTCCACAGCAAGTTTCGAGCGGTCGTTAAGCTCCATGCGACGAATCAAGAACTACATGCGCTCAACAATGTCCACTAACCGACTTTCCAGTTTGGCAATGCTCCACTGCCACAAAGATAGAGCAGTTGATGTTTACAGTGTAATGGTCAAATTCAAGGCTGGGGCAAGACGTCATCTGCTGCTATAAAGACCACCAACTGAAATGCTTCATTGCAAATAAAGTCTCTAACAAATGTAGAACTGAGGGTAGCATATTCATTCGGCATGGTAACCGCGCCAGTGAAACTCTAGCCTTGCTAATTATTAGTGTACCCAAACATTAACTCTAGTTTCCCCGTGATTTAAAGTGTTTTAAAGATTTTTACCGCTTTTATTGATATGATGTATACATATAAAGGGAACAATATGTGGCCTGGCTTCAAGCATTAGACATGGTAACCGTGCCAGTGCAACCCTAGCTATGCAAATTATCGGTACAGACATAGTACTCACTCACTAAAGAATGGTCATAAACCATGGCTTTACATTTTACATTGACCAGTATATCAGTTCTTATGTACATAATGTTAAACTATTCCTAGTGATAGCTTGTGATACTAAGAGAAAAACTCTTACAACAACCATCCCAAAATCCACATGTATTTAGATTTTTCTTTTCCGTGGAATAATGTTACCGAGCGCCATAACAGAATTGGCGTAGATGAGTACCAATATCAACGTACCCAAAAATAAGCAAAATATTTGTAAACAAAATGGGGGAAAACGATATTTTCTTGCTTTAAAAGGGCCATTGAAACTGACCCCAGAACACGGGAGAACTCGTATCAAGTGTTCTAGAAAACAAACTTCTAGAAAACCCCTCCCATACCCTCCCCCTCCTCACGCTGCGCGCTTCGGGGTGCTGCCTTCGGCAGCACATTTCATCCTTGGGCTTACACATTGAATACCCGTTTGTTACGCCCCTGCATTGTATATATATTTACAAGTATCTTTACTGATTCATGACTCTTGGGTTTCTCGTATGCATTTATTTTGGAATCTGTTTAACGTAACTCTATATCCCTCAAAACCAGTAACATACAGTTTTATTGTACAATTAACAGTATTGTGTAGGCATGTGAACAGAGCAGATATCTTCTCCTTCCTATATGATAAGTCCCACAGGAGATTCAGTCCCAACAGCAGCAAAACTAACCCCATTTACCCAATACATAATGTAGAGGCCCATAGCTAGGGTTACTTAATTATATATTTATATTATTACTTACATGTGGTAGGAGATGTAATAAGGCGTCCCCTGCTAGGGCCCCCACAGCCAGAGCCACTAGGAACAGGAGCAGGTGGTTGTAAAAGACTTTCTGCATGATAGGGACAACGGCTACACCAAGAAGCCCAACCAAACTGATGACCACAACAGCAATGGTTGAATATCCCCACACTAAAAGGCAGAAAGAGAAAACTACTTAAATTTTTCTTTTCAAACACTATATTATATGAAAATGTAATTCAAAAAAATGAAATCATACAAGCTAGCTATCAATGCTTTTTTTAAAGTTTGCAAAATGTACAAATTAAAAAAATAATCTCAAATGTAAAACTTACACTGGACCTAAACTAAACATGTGCTACGTTGCAGTAATAATGGGAGACGGCTTTATATTCTGATTTCATAAAAACCTTTAGAAGTATGTTCAAGGCTCTTTCCACAGACAGGGGAGATAACGTCAGATTACTTCACCTATCAAGTACATGATTATTTTTCCTTCTAGATGACCTTTAATTATAAACATTCAACTTCACTTATTGTTGAAAAACTTTGTCCCCTATTCAACGACACATAACAGCATAAGGACACTACTTCCAGCTGTACTATTTGGTTCAACCCTTTCTGGCAATTATATAAGACATAAACAATACACACACACCTTCTGCTGGTATATCTGTGAAAGCGATAGTGATAGCCTGTTTGACTGGGTGGGCTTGATGGTCAGTGACCTTTTTCCTACACTCGGCCCGAGAGAGTGTGAACAGTATCCCTGGACACATCTGTAGTAACCGGTTAGTTGTCACTGTCTCATCCCGGTGAATGTGAAACCGGCTGATCAGGTCATCACACTGGAAAAAAATCATCACGATGTAAAGGACAAATTATTGAAAGAACATACAAATAATAACATAAACAGAAAAATGTCAAAACTGATTGTTTTTGTTTGAATTGTTTAAGCATTTTTAAAAATTGCCCACAGAACATATACATTTATTCACATCAAATAAAATTAAAATACACCCGTCTCATCTTAATTCTATTTGTGTCTCTAATGAAAATCTTGGTTATTACTATATATTTTAAGTGTGTGTTTGTTCGTTTATCATTCACATTAATGGCACATCATCCTGATAAGATCATTTGGGGTGTTTGCATTTTAATACGGTAATGCATTTAGTGAGCAAAGGTGACGAGTTAAAAATAAAATAAAAAGGAATATGATAAAAAGAATATCATTGATATAGTATTGCAGTAATTTACCTTTTCATTATTTGCCTGAGATTCAACACCTCCCTCTAAGTGATTGTGAGAGTCCTCCGATTCATTTTGTATCTTCCTTTTTTGTCTCCTCACAAGACTGCTTGAGCGACGTCTACGTACATCATGATCAGAGTTATTTAAAAGTTTATGGCTACCTACACTTGTATTATTAGAATGTGTATGGTGATGATCTTGATGGCCATCATGATTTTCATGATCCGAGTAATGATCATGATTTTTATGATCCGAGTCATGATCATGATTTTTATGATCCGAGTCATGATCATGATTTTCATGATCCGAGTCATGATCATGATTTTCATGATCCGAGTCATGATCATGATTTTCATGATCCGAGCCATCATGATGACGATCTTCGTGGTCTGTTTCTGGATTATGTTTTTCGTGATCTGAGTCATGAATTTGCTCTGAATGATCTGCATCATGACTATGTCCAGCATGACTATCAGTTATTTGATGAGAGTGTTCAGTATGGGAGTGGTTCGCTGGTACTTTAAGATTTATCCCCAGGCTCTCCAACATATGTATAATACTGTCATAGTTTAATACACCATTATAACCGAATCTATCAATCAAATATGTCACATAAAGGTTTTGCGCATTTAATAACTCATCTCTGAGGTTGGTCACTTTAGACATTTCCTCATGGTCGTGATGATCGTGATCTTGAAGGTTGGTCTCTTTAGACGTTTCCTCATGGTCGTGATGATCGTGATCTTCAAGGTTGGTCACTTTAGACGTTTCCTCATGGTTGTGATGATCGTGATCTGAAGAGGTATCGTTAGGCATCCCGTGTTGATGTGTTTCAGAAGAAATGGTAGGTTGTGAGGCAGAGAGGTTTTGACTTTCGTTAGCGTGGCCGATAGTCGGGAGACAGGTGAGGGTGTGTAACGTGAGACAGATGAAACAGAACTTAGAACTCTGTGTGAAACACATATTGTTGGTTCAGTCGACTCCTCTGGTCAGTTTTTCTTGTAAGGTCAGTCTATCCACCTGCAAAAACAATTTAGTGTAATTGAGGCTTATTCACATTGTAAATGTATCATTATTTCGACAATTTTTTTTTTATCATATTTTTTCCTCCTTCAAATTTGCAACATCATGGGTCACAGGTTCGAGACCTATGTGGGGCAGTCGCCAGGTACTGGCCATTGGTCGGTGGGTTTTCTCCAGGAACTCCAGCTTTCCTCCACCACCAAAACCTAGCTGGCACATCCTTAAATGACCATAGCTGTTAATAGGACTTAAAACACAAACAAATCAAATGCAACATCTAAAATTATTTGAGCTTATCCCTATTTTATTACTTGAGTCAAAGGAAAACGAAACTTGTGAGGTCCAAATATTAATGATAACAATTATCTGAGTACTCCAATAGCTGAAATATTGAATTTTAGTTTCCTAGGGAATGACGTTATATTTTAAACTAAATTAAAAAAATAATGGCTGACAGGGGCACTTACATATCAAGACAACAAAATAACATCTATATTATGGTAGTAGTGCATGCTCAAAGGCACAAGAATTGTCGGACACAATTTCCATGTTTTTCAGGGTTAATTTTTGAGGTTGAGTGTGCTCAAAATGGAAAGTGTGTAGTGTATTTACCCCCTTGGTAAAATATTCAAACCTAATTAGAATATGACATCTGTTGGGTTTTTTTCAGATGAAATCTTTTGACAACCTGAAAGTGTTCAATTTGGAAATCAAGATACAAAAAATAAAAGCAAATTGCCAATAACCAGTTCTAAAGATTCACAATTAGCTTGGGGGTTTGTTAATTTCCACTTTATTAAAACAGAATATTATACATTTATGACGATGGAAACGTACCTTGAAAGTTTGAAAACTGTGTATGGTTTCCCTTTCTAAACACACACCAACCATATCATTTTCTGTGTTATATTATTAATATAATATCTGTGCTATTTCTTTAAAAAAAACATGAGGCCCAAAGGGCCTGTATCGCTCACCTGAATATGTTTAAAATAATTGGTATGAAGTAGGTGCTGTAAGTACATATGAAATTTCAGAAAGATCCATCCAGTACTTGAGATATAGCGAGAACAAACTTCAAACAGAGCCCCACACCTATAGGCAACTTAGGGGGGTCATACCCACCAATTATACAAAATTGATTCCCCTTGACCCAAGGATGCTCCAGACTAAATAAGGATAAAATCCCATAATCCAGATGATCGAAGAAGGATTTTAAAGGTTTTACCTCTATTTCTCCTATTAGGCCCCGCCCTTTACCAAAGGATGAACCACACCAAATATGGAACAAATCCTTTCATTCCTACAGAAGAAGAAGGATTTTAAAGAATAATTTTCTATCTTTCTCCTGTTTGGCCCCGCCACTCTGGGGGCCAGACCCACGGTTTATACAAAATTGGTTCCCCTTTACCCAAGAATGATTCAGACTAAATATGGAACAAATCCTTGTATTCCTACAGAAGAAGAAGGATTTTAAAGAATTTGCTTTGTTTCCCCTACTGGGCCCCACCCCTTAGGCCCCTGGGGTACCCCACCAACGGTTTATACAAAATTGGTTCCCCTTCCCTCAATGATGCTTCTGACCAAATATGGAACAAATCATTTCATTCCTACAGAAGAAGAAGAAATTTAAAGAATTTGCTATATTTCCCCTATTGAGCCCCGCCCCTCAGCCCCCAGGGGGCCAGACCCACCATTTAAACAAAATTGAGTCCCCTTGGCCTAAGGATGCGCCAGACCAAATTTAGTCCAAATCCTTTCATTCCTACAGAATAAGAAGGATTTTTAAGAATTTGCTATGTTTCTCCTATTGGGCCCCGCCAATTAGGCCCCTGGGGTCCAGACCCACGGTTTATACGAAATTGGTTCCCCTTCCGTAAAGGATACTTCTGACCAAATATGGACCAAATCCTTTCATCCTACAGAAGAATAAGGATTTTAAAGAATTTGCTATAATTCCCCTATTGGGCCCCGCCCNTCATTGATACAAAATTGATTCCCCTTGACCTAAGGATGTTCCAGACCAAATTTAGTCCAAATCTACTGGACCGTTCAGGACAAGTATTGTTTTAAAGGAAAAGTTGACGGACGGACGGACGACGGACGCTGCGCCATGGCATAAGCTCACTTGCCCTTCGGGCAGGTGAGCTAAAAACCACGTGATTGCATTGATCTCACTTAAATTATTATGAGAATTTAAAAAAAAACCAAATAATAAATTGAATCTAAAGCACAAAAATTGATAGTTAGTTCTTATATATTTTGTACCAAAGGATATTTAAGAAACTGATTAATGTAGGAACTGGCGTCCTACAGTCTCTAAACGATCTATCATTCACATGAAACAGCACCACGAGACGGGCGGCACCTAGGCCTGCTCCGAATATATCGCGCCAGCTGCCTATCTACCGCATGACACACCTTACACAAAGGTGTAAGCACATACTTTGATCAATTTCTGCAATACTTTAAGCTGATATTCATCCTAAATTGGTAAATGTTATGTTTTCAACTCAAACATTATTTTTATACCGACTAGGTTTCCCATTTAGTCCAATATTTACCTTTTGTGGCAATTTTGATGTGTCGTGTGCACAGGCTGAAAACGTGATTCAAATATGGCTGTCCCATTCACATATCTAACAGTCATTCAGAACTTTCCAGTGTTTTCTCAAAGCTATATGACTCATCAAAATGCTATCCGAATGTTTTAACTTGGGGAATCTTAACTAGGTCAATCGATATATGATGTATCTGTGTCTAGACACAGACTGTATAATAAATATATTTAGTTTCGCCTTGATTTCGGAGTGGTATCGTTAATCATGAGCTATGGGTTGACTTTAATTGAATAGTCCCTTTCACGTTAACTGCGGGAAAGTACGTCGCGCATGCGCACAAATGCCACTGAGTGGGTTCCTGGATATACGTAAACAACCATCATGGTGAAAACCTGCATTGTATACAAGTGCGCAAACCAGTTTGACCGGTCAAAGAAAGTAAGTTTTTTTCGGTTCCCAAAAGATAAGCTGAAGCGGAAGACATGGATAAAAGCACTTAACAGGGATGGTTGGGTTCCTAACGAAAGTTCTTGGATATGTTCCGAGCATTTTATCGACGGCTGGCATGGATATGACCCTGCTGACGAGAATTACGCTACGACAATTTTCAAATACAAGGTAAAAAATCAACAAAAAAGGTTATTTAAAAGGTGGTAAATTTATTACAATAACTTATATTTTATATGACAAAAACATATTTAAGCAACAGCAACCATCAGACCACAGGGGTTCGTTACACACATATGCTATATTAGACTGAAATGGGTCACAGCACACATATATGTTTATGTGTGTTGTGACCCATGTCAGTATAGCATATGTGTATGTCAGGCATTTGTAACGAACCCATATGATCAGACCATTGGTATCGCAGCACATATACATACACAATACACATAGATGTGATATTTATTCTTATAATTGTAGATGCATTATAAAGCAGTTGTATTATAACAGATATAAGATTGCTTTGTATCCCTGCTGGTTGCATTACAAATTCACCATGGCAGTTGATCTTTTCAAACTATCGAACCGTGTTAAAGCATATCTTACATAATTTCAGGAAACACAAACATAATCTCTACATAAATAATACTATGCAACTACAAATATACGTACATGTTCAGGTTATACATATAACATAACGTTAACTTATATGAAAACAAATTTTGCAAGTTTAAATTAAACATCATTTATTGAAAAAAAATGAGAACTAAAATTCTGTCTTTATCAATGGTTGTTAGATTTTCAAATTAAAACTTTCAAATAAATTACAAAAAACTTCATTTTGAAAGGTGGTTAAACAATTAGACATCAACATATCATGAGACAAGAAAGCTGGCTAGAGATGAATCCAAGATATAATATCAACTCCACACCTACCCCTTTCTTTCCTAATGCATACCTATAACTATTTGTTACTGTTGTATATAAACAACACACCAGACTAAACACAACATGATTATTAACAATTTCATTTTATTTCCCAATACTGCATCAACAAAATTGTTATATTTCTAATCACATTATAAATCATGACCAAAATATCGGGGATTGGGAGGGGGGGGGGGTTGCATTCAAAGAAAACTTTTGATTGTCAAATTTTATGTCGAGTTGTGAAAATTACCGATAACCGTCAAAAAGAATCATGGTAGTTAATTTCATATGTCTGCAATTTATTTTTATATTTCTATAGCTTTGCAATGAGTTTGAAATATTTATTTTCTATAATATTTTTGTGTGATCATTTTATGTACAGGAAAGCCAATATTTGAAAACAAAACAAATATAGCTGGAGGAGGTAAAAAAGAAAGTGTCTTTACCCATGCACAGAGGGTCCTGTAAGCCTGTCCCAGAACCTGAAGCTGAGGCTGAGGTTCAAGAAGAGGATGACATAGATGTTAATGTTCTTGTTGACACTGGTAAAGTAATACATGTATTTCCTGTAATTAACCCCTCCCCAGTTTTGATTATTTATTCAATGATTTATTAACCTACTTTCCCAAACAGCCTCCATTCTGGGTCTTTATATTACTATATACATTCAAATGTTCGATTCCTTTATTCTATCTATACTAACCAACATGACGAGATTGTTTAGAAATAAAACACAACTTACAGTATCACAATCTGATTTTCAGTGCCTTGATGGGAAAAATTGGAACCAAATTTGAAATTCTCCCTGATCCCAATAGGTGTCCAATGTGATGAAGACCCTCTTCTCTTGGAGAATAGGCGACTCCAGGAGGAAGTAAGATTACTAAAAGAGGAGGTACGCCAGCTCAAATGGGGAGTAGGCAAAATAAAGGACAATGACACACGGACACGATTTTACACTGGTCTCCCAACATTTGCCGTTTTCTTGTGGCTGTACAAGTAAGTCAAAATTAGGCTTTATGAAAGATGAATGATGAGTCCTTATTGTTGTCTTTCAGGAGCAAGAAACATCTATAAATATATATACATGTATATGTAATATAAATCATTATTGACAATAACCCTTTGGTTGAAATTGTTTTTAAATGAAACTGTAAAATTGACAAAAAATACAGCACATTCAAAGTATCGGACACCATATACTGAATTCTATTTAAGTGATACCAAAATAATGAAATTGGTAATATCACTTAGGCATTGTATTCCACTTATTCAAACCATCTGGTTATGACAGTCATAGACCAATTTATTTGACATTAATGCTGATATCGCTATAAGAATTATGTGACATCACTTTATTACAGTGTTATGTAACTCATGTCAGTTTCTGATATCACCAATTCATTTCCTTGATATATCTTCATAGTGTATATAGGTGATTTCAGCATAAAATGATATAATGAAGCACTAAGATAAACTGATGGTATCCTTTATCATACCTACCAACTTAATACATTAATCTATTGAGATATATTTACTGTAGAAATGAGGGTCCTTTCAATTTGTTAATATCTCTAGCTCTGTCCTACCATCAAGGTAGAGAAAGACCCGACACAAATTTACTGAAGTGGATGTATTGATGTTTTCATCTCTTCTTCATGGCATACATCTGGCACATGGTCAGGAATGTTCCAAAAGTGTGACATATCTAAGAGCAAAAATAATTCCTCAATGTATATACTATGTTTATATTCATAAATTAATTTTTTAAAGTACAAAAAAAATATTTGTACAGTTAATAAAAGTTTAGACTAAAATAGAGAAATTGCATTCAAAACACTATTAATGATGCCATTTTTTTTCCGGAAAACCTCCCTTAATTTCCTCAGCTCCTGCAGACTTTTGTGGAGGTCATGAGACCTGTCCTCAGAATTCTTGGATCAAAATTACACTGAGGTGGTGGCTGGATTGTATTTGTAAGGTTATTTGGAGTGACTCTTGGCTTAGCCAGCTGGAAATTTCGTAGAGATTGCGCTTTAATCTGGTTTCTAGGGACTTTTCACATACAAAGGTTGGAGGTGCAGCTTTCTTCCAATGTTCCTTTTTTGGTTGTTTGTCCTTGCGCCAAAGCAAATAAAAGTCCACCAATGTGGCTGCATGCCTGTGATAGTCTGTAATAATTTCAGTTAAAATTATTGGTTTATTTCATTTAGTGAATACAGGATTCTACTTCAGTGTTCCTCTGTGAACACCATTTGTACTAATTTATGCAGTATAAATGTTATGTGACCAGATATTAAATTCAACTTGGACTAAAAATGAATAAGTTATTATTATTTCACTCACTGCTGTCTGTTTTGAGATATTTGATAAGACTGAAATTTGAACTATTCTTCATATTGTTTGCATTGTTTTATCATGTTATTCAATTAACTGAATTTATTGTTTAGAATGTAACAACCCCACTCCCTAATAAATTCTTAAAGCATCAAAACAATAGTTTAAATTTAAGCCTCATTACCCTATTGTCCCTAAAGTCGGTATAGAACAAGTACACTGAAACAAATTGGTATGGATATTGACTCAATTAGTATGTAAATGCAGAGTAAATCTGGTTATATTTAGATACCATGCATGTAAACTTGAGTAAAAAAATGTAACTACCTAATTGGACACTGGCAATAGGCATATTCTAGTTTGTCCTTGTCAGGGGAGAGGGTTACACACACATACATTTGATAGTGGTGTTTCTTCATAGAAGCCTGACATGTTGGCCTGACATACACAATGGATTCATCAACCTTCCAGGGGGGAAAAGAACATATAGTACAACCCTGTAACTATACAGTTGCGTTACATGCTACTAAATGCTACTAAATTTAGCAAGACGATGGAAATCAACGTTTTACCCATTTTGAAATAAGTTGAATGAACTAAGCTGATGAACCTGATCTTCACTTTTAGAAGAAAGCAATCTCTATAAATGTAATAGATATATATACATATTATATTTTTTTTGTTCTCAACAACATGTCTTTAGTACTTTCATCTCTTCTAGGAGATTCTTCAGACATATATATTTAGCATGTTATTCAGTAACGTTACAGTACCTGTGCTATTGAAACTCCTTGGACATCGCCAGCATCATAGTGTTTAGTAGATCTGTCTAAACCTCTCATTTTTGTTTTAAAGAACTACCCGAGTCAGTCGGGCGCAAAATCATAAACTCATAAATGTCATTAAACTTAATAGTTGGTAGTTGTGTGAGGTCCGATCCGTATGTAACCTGGTTAAAAGGGGGTAGGTTTTCGGCGAAACCGCAAGTACGCCAGATGACTGACTCAACACTGGAGTCAGTGCAGATACTGGAGCCTGTGCACCCAGTAACTGTGAAACCAGCTCACTCTTCTTCTTCTTTTCTGTGGCGATGTTATTCTCGGAAGCCAATAATTTCAATGCGTCAACGCCGGGCTTGTTTAAATTATCCCGGTTAGCCATGCTATAGACACCGTTTCTAATGTAAACAACATGAAATACGGAAGCGGAAACCGAAATTACCCACTCAGTGGCGTTTGTGTACATGTCTGCAAAAAATAGTGAAAGGGTCTATACATGATCTACGGCCTAGATATTATTTTTTTAGAAGGTCACATGCTTGAATCATGCGCGCGTGGCCTTCTCCTGAAACCAACAACGGATATAGGATGCAGCCTTGCTCAAGTCCAATACTCACTTTAAATGGGAAAGGCAATTTAGTCAACTTGACACGCGTGCCTATAATTATAAAAGCACCAATTAATGTGAACTTCTAAATTTTTATTTTACAATTATCGAATAAAGAACAATTAAGATTTCGGTCTCTATTTCCTTTGATGTTAATTAAAAACTGACAGATCATTTACAAACTAATTAATAATCATAAAAAATGATCAATTTATAGCAAAAGTAAAGCAGTATTCCTAGTGTATGGCACAAGAAATGAATGCAAATTATATACAGGATTGAAATTTCAGCAAACGACTAGTAAATGTACAAACTTATTAATAATCATTAAAAAATGATCAATTTATAGCAATAGTAAAGCAGTATGTATTCCTAGTGTAAGGCACAAGAAATGAATGCAAATTATATACAGGATTGAAATTTCCGCAAACGACTAGTACTGTCAGGGATGTGTAGTTGTAGACGATGATAATTTCGACAATGAAATACATTTAGATTGCACCTTCGATGTCTTTCCTTCAAGGGCAATAGTATGGTTATGATGTGACAAGATCTCATCAATCCACTCCAACATGCTGCCGCTAACGTCATAGCGGTGCAATTTCAAGAGAAGACGCTCAGCAAACTGGTGTTCCTTTATCCACTATTCAGTCTTTTCGAGAGATATTGGATTGCGACAAATAACGATGTATTGCTGGACTGTCTTTTCCTGAATCCTTGTTGGCTTTCGGTTAGAATGTACTCCTTTTTGATTATTTTTAACCATATTGATGTCAGAGAGTTTGATCGGTAATTTGAGGACGCGATCATCTTTTTAGAAAATTGGAAACAAAAGAGCGTGTTCCTGTGCATTTTCTTTTGAATAGTCGATGCAATTTGTCGGGGCGCCTTGATCGGGGTCATGTTACGGAGAAGCTTTAAGATTCCACCATTCCAATCCTCTATGTACGGGGAATCAGACTACCTGCTGATTATTTCTAACTTTGTTATGGTTGAGAGTTTCTCATTCGACAAGAAAGTTGACACCGAGTGTTGAGGATGTGATTCAATTCTGTTTCATGGGTGAACATTTGAAGAGGTGCCAGAATGTTTTGGGTGGGCGTCGTCATCGATAATCATGTTGTTGACGTGATCGTTTTAAGCATCCTTGCATGCTCTCTACATATGGGACCTCGCCTCAAAGATGAGAGGGGGTTTGGCGTTGAAGATGGATTTGAACCCAAGGTGTTGCCACATAACGTAAACGTTCTCTTGAAGATTCGGATGAATTGTCTTCGGAGGACTTCCTCAGTGATTTTAAGTTTCCCTTCCTCAACCAGTGAATACTGGATTGTTGCCTTTGAGTGCTAGATCGAGAATCAGAAATTAGTAAACGATGTTGTGATCACTGATACCAGGGAGACATTCACATCTTTTGTTAAGGAATGGACGGTTGCTGACAAACTGGTCCAGCGTGTTCACGCATCTGAGTTGACGGCTTGTTGGAGCACAAGGTCCTCTACAATGAAACCGACGCGTCATTTATGGCTTTCAGGTACTAGTGCCAAGTCATAGAATTGTCCTTTAAATCCATATAGGACAGGTTTAAGTGTCGGCAAATCTAAAGGGTGGAGTTGATATTTTTGTTGCTGTTTGTGTCTCGAATAACATCGTACATAAATTTTGCGTCAGGAGTGCTTTTTGGAAGGCGACAAACGATCACTTCAATCCGGCATTTATTGTTTTTACAGTTTTTATATTTCAGAGACCGGGCGATAGATTCACAGTATGAGCGTAAGTACATGTATATAAGTTTACTCAACTTATCTGTCTTAAGGGTACGATTCACTCCAACATACCCGTCGTGGCTGTCCTTTCCGAGAGAATCCGTATTCAGAATTTTATATTTCACTGTTGGTACTTTATGTTTAAGTAACGTATTGTTCCACAAAGGGGTTTTCTTGGGCTATATTTATAATATTTTCAAGTGTTCCTGATGTTTGTGTTTAACATTTGTGTTTTAAAATCTTAGAAAGTAGGCTGTGCTGTTTGCCGGGATGACTGACAGATGGGCTTGAAGTTGTCAGACGTGACCAAAAGTTTGTGTTGATGCGTGAGTATGTTAGTAAGGACATAAAAACTCATATTAGCGTCAATAATTATGGAGTCAAA